TGCGACGTCACTTTTCTGTGTTCGTCTCACAAGCTTTCCGGTGAGTTGTCCAGCCTCATGGCTTGATATCTTGGTTGCATATATCGCAGAACCTTGTGCAATCTGGGGCCATTTTGGGATAGAATTACAAGGTAAATCCAGGTTTGTAATACAGAGGCTTGAAGGATTGAGTAAGTGCAAAGAGTTTGCTGTTGGGCATTGATGGAATGATGAGGGGAAGAGTATATGCATTACATTACAGCTTACAATTGGTTGAAACTTAGCAATCAGTATTACATTATCATTTCAGGACGCAACAAGTATTACCTTATCATTTCAGGCGACATTTCAATGACATCTAAATGAGGGGTCATTGCAACCACTTCACAAATTTCCAACAACAACCAACCAACCTGTGACGACCTATGATGCCTTGTGACCCGACATGACCAATGCCAACCACCTGGCTATCCCAATTGGTAAGCCTTATTAGGCTTGGTTCACACGTGCTGTGCCAACTATAATTAGGCTTGCTTGCAGCTAACACCCAACACCAGCATTAAATATTGTCCTAAATCCTTTTTTACCTCCAGCACTGTATTATCACAGCTGCTAGATATACTTGGCAAGGTATATGTTCACCCTATATGCCTTTCCCACTGTAAAGAGTAGATCTGGGCTGGGCTCTACAGAATGTGAGTCCCAAGTCCTGAGAGATGCGAGTGTGCTTCATCCCAAGAGACAACCTAAAAACTACCTTGATAAAAATGCAAGGGAAGTCTTATACAGTCAGAGAGTAGACAAGATATAGGGAAGTAAACCTCTAATGTTCATCCAAAGTTCCGAGACTACGTCTGAAGTACCGAGATACTATTCTGATGCTGACCAAAGGTTGTCTGAAGCTGCGAAAGTGATGTCTGGAGTAGTGCGATGCCTTCTGAGGTTTGTGAGAGATGTCCGAAGGTCAGAGTGTGTTGGTGTGTTGATGTGTCAGTATGTCGATGTGTCGAATAGTACAAGACTTTGCAAAATGTCTGAAGTTTGGAACTACGCTAATCTACCGGAACTCAAGAATAAACAAGGTGCAGAATTGGCAGCGGTCTAGCCAAACAATCGTTCTGAATGAACAAAAGATCAATTGCGCAGTTACGAATATACTGAGGTGACTCTACTAACTATGACTCAAAGTACGAGAAGTGAAGTGAAGTATCAGTAGCCAGCAAGTGAGATTATATCCTACTTCCATGAGAGACCAGAATCCATAGGCGAAACTAGTAGCGAGATAAGCAAGTCTGAACCTATGTAATAAGCTGCGAGGCAAGCAGCAATGCAAGTATACATGTAATAAGCCGCAAGGCATACCATTTACACATATTCCAAGACTCCTGACAGGATGCCGATGGAATTTATCCGTATAGCACTAAGACATAGTCAAGATATAGGTAGAATAATGGAAAATGCACCAGTGTCATATCCCATATATCCATGCTTCTGATCCAGACCTCGGACCCTAGATCCAATCAGATTCGATATACAGATCCACTTCTGATCCGAGATACGATAAGCTTCCTATTCATTTCCTGTTCATATAACATTAATCACAGCCTATTCCTTTATTCGGTATTTCTTGTTCCCAGTATCTTGGTTATCCTTACTTCCAGCTATGCTTTATGATCTGTTAACCTGTGCTAATTTCCGACTTGCGTTTAACTTGTGATAAACTTTGCTTATACTTTGTGCATAGCCCTGGATAGTCTTCTAGTATATAAACCCTTGTATATGCCCTGTAATACCTCAGTTCGAATATTATCTTAGTTTGTTCTCTTTCCATCCTCCGTACTCGAGCCTAGTTAAGCTCTTGTCGCATTCCGAGACTTAAGGATTGTATCCTATAAGTCTACATCTCTGACTCTATCTTCGGATAGTCTATACTCTGTTGTTTTCTAGTCCGTACCTGTCCGGATTAGTCTTATGCATGTTTCCGTTATCCGGACAACCTTCGGATATCATTATGGTACTTGTCCAATCCTCTGGATGTGTTATATCTCCCTCTCTGAAATAAGGGGCAGTACTTGGAAAAGGGGCACAGCATATGAGCTGAGGCTGAAGCCCTATCAGATCTGTTAATATGAGAGTATGACCTTAACAACTAGCGAAGTCAAAAGGACGAGGATAGGACATGGTATGGTAACTCGCGAGGTTCAGATGGGCCTTGGAACACAAGGACTGCCTGTGGAACGTTCAGACAAGTGTGCGCGGCCTTTGAAAGGTCGAGGAAGGTCGAGGAATGGTATGGGATGTAAGTGTTAGATTGACTGCTTCCGAGCCCAGCACCACAACCATCGTTACACCGCCTTTCCTGCCTTCCGGCAGTTTCCGTTCCAGGCCCATTCTCAATTAGGCCCTATGTGAGCGAGGGGCCTTCCCACACCCCTCACTCCTTACCTTCATGGCCACTGCCTACAGTGGCCAGGACAGCCCTCACACTATGTCCCACAGCGCAGGCTCTCCTAGCCTCAAAGTCTTGTCTTTCCTCTCATTTCGGCAGCTTCTGTTTTGGGCCTGTTTTTAATGAGGCCTTGTTTGAGCAAGGGGCGTTCTCATGCCCCTTGCTCCTTACCTTTACAACATTGCCTACAGTGGTCAAAACTGCACCAGCATGCCATGTCTCATGGATCAGGCTGTACCAGGTTCAATGGCCTTTCAAAATTGGTTGTATCTCATTCTTTCAGAGGACATTGTCACTAAACACATGTTCTCACAGCTGGCAAACAGTCCCAGCATGTAGCTAATGCAGATGCTATGTGTTGGGCAGAAATTCAAGGTTAGCTATCATCATCTTCCAAGTTTATAACGTAGTCTTCACAGTTTTATCTTAGAGATGTCAATGGAAGATCATGATACAGTGCATGATATGATAACTGACTATGGCATAGAGTCCAACATGCTCCCACATACAGCACCCCCTAGAGAGGAAGGCTTGGAGTTTAGCCATGTGGGTGGTGAACACAAAGCTTTTGAAGGTCTTGCCAGCCAAATTGCTGGGATAAGTGGCGGGTGAGTGTTATTTGCCTATCCGCCCTCGCTTGGTCTCATCCTAAGTCATAGCCACTATACAGATCACCGCACACACCATGACCAGATAGAAAACCAAACAGCTCATTGGGGTACTCAAATAGATCTCCTTGTGGATGCCTATCTTGACTATCATTCTCGCTCTGTTGAGAATGGTATGTCAATATTCAATGAACCACCTGCAGTGCCATCTTCAAGCGATACTCAGTGCCTTTCACTGAGCAACATCGACCTTGTAGATATTTTTTGTATGTATATTAGACTTCCCACTTCTATTTTTGCTAATTTATATTCAGAGAGAAGCCAGTCATCACCTCATCATTGATATCTTACAAGTACCCTAACGAGACCCTGATCTATCATGGCTACATTGGGTGTTCACCAGTGTATCCCAATGTTGTGATATCCCTACGCACTCTTGCCACCTACTGTCAAATTCATCGAACATGTCCTCATTTCAGCATCCAAGCTCAGTGCAAAGCTTTGTGTTTTCTGTACAGTGTAAGTAGATGCCTTGTCTGGTGAATTATCTCATGGGCATCTAATAGATTTTATATAGGCCATACTTGTGCATGCAATTTTCAGCTGCATATGACATATACCTTGAAATCGTTCATTGTGTCAATAAGTGTCTCCAGGCAGCCCTCAATCATGACAGGCCTAATTGGTGATTACTCAATTCCTGTCCAGCATGTTTCTACAAGCTCCAGGATGAGCCTGCACTTCATTTTGACTGGCTTGTCTCAATAGATGGCAACAATAGCTTGAAACACTGGGACTCCACTATATATGGTACAACTGCACACATAGATTCTTAAAAGGCACATTCAGACTACTGGATTGAACCTGCCACTGTAGACCAATTCAAGGGTGAAGTCAAAGCTTGAGGAGTAAGTCTTTTCTTCTGACATTATCATTGTTTGATCATCTCATACAGGCCCCAAGTCCTGATGATTGGGAATATAAACTCATTGAGTCTACATCAGGCTCACTCACTTGCATTAGTTGCTGGCAAAATGCTGGACCTGAAACACACAAGATGTTCTCGGTCATCCATGAATCAGGTATTTTTATTGCTGCCTGTCATCATCATTTTGTACTTCTGGCCTGTGACATGATCCAAAGTGGAGAATTGTAATTCACTCTCACTGTTAGTTAATTTGGCACTGATTCAATTGACAGGTCTAAATATCCCCTCACACTTATCAATAAGCTTCTCACAGTTTATGGAAAGAATGGAGCTTGTGCTTATGACATCAGCTGTGCATTCTCCAAGACCTTAATGAATAGCGCCTTAGGCCCACCAGCATCTGAATTAAATTTTTGAATGATGATTGGTGCGCTCCACGGACATGCACACAACTGCAAATGCCAACTGGTCTGGCATCCAATGTATATTCCAGGCACTGGACATACTGAGGGCGAAGGGTGTGAGCACATATTTTCCTCGTCAAATGAGCTTGCATGTGGCACTAGGCATGCAAACCCATTCCATCAGCATCAGACCATTGAAGAACACTTTACCTTGTGGGATGCAGACAAGTATGCTGTGCTTTGTGCATAATTTCCCTATATTAAATTACAAATCTGATATTTTGTTAGCTAATTTTTTGCTGAATCATTATCGTGAAGCAACGAAACAAGCCAGCATGCTCACAGCCAAACTAGGCATCATTCAATCTGAGCTCAGCCTTGCTGATGCTGACTTCCCTTGTTTCCTCAAGGAAGAACATGATTACCTCAATGGTTTGAAGCAACCACCTGAAAAAGATCGCCTCTCAGTGTAATGATGATCCTTGTGCTGAGCTCAGAACCAGCATTTTCAACACCTACGTCAAACACTACTCATTCCAAGTCATCTGCAACATGTCTGAATCATTCCTAAACATGTCCGACATATTTCTGCATATGTCCAAGCCTTTCCGCATCAGATCCAACACACTTAGCTTTGGACTTTTGCACTTTCCATCGGACATCACATTGGACATTACATTGGACATGATTGCACATCATTGGATATTGTCGCACCTATGTCCAGTCACATCCTGCTAGCCCCTACTAGGTGCGCACTTAGTCTTATCTTCATTGCTAACAGTTTAGACAGTGTTATTACATGTTTTCCCATAGTCCACAGTACCTCGTGTCTTATTACATAGGACATCAGACCCGAAAATTATTGCTACTACCTTTGCCTATGGTATTCCAGTTTCCTACATAGATAGATAAATACTCTGTAGTGACTCTTACTTATCCATCCACCTGTAGCTGGGTCACTTTCAGAATATTTTCGTAGTTCTTAGTTGATTTGCAAAATATTACTATTCTTTCGCCATCACAAATCTGCCATTCATTATACTCGCAACCCGACACTTGTTACATAGTTTTTGACCTATACTCATGAAGTCCAAAAGTCCAAAATCTCAGACATTGCACTTTGGCTTCAGACATCAGATAAGTACCCTTGGACAGCATTGGATAACCATTGGACATTGTTTCTTAGCTTTGGACATTTGTTATTTGCATTACTGACACATTTATACTACTAATACCAATTAGCAATCCATTTAGGATCGAACTCACTTGCTCTGCAAGTATAGCAGACTAGGTCATTCTAAAGATCTACCTAAATATTGTTAACTAGGTAGTACAATTTCTGCTGAGCCCAGCAGAGATTTACTCTTTACATCGGTGAAGGTGAGGAATCTTGACTAAGCTAAAGGGAAGCTAAAGCCTGAGGGGGCTCTACAGAAAGACCTGGATGCGAGAATGTGTCTCAACCCAAAGGACAGCTACTGAGAGAAGTTCCTCTGAAATCAGTGGAGGGAAACTTTTGTCAACTAGGCAAGTGCGTAGGCGGATGCATGAGTACAGATGCACAAAGGGGATATGTGTGAGGGAAGCAGAACTTAAGTGTAGTGCTCATTACAAGCACACAAATATATGGACGTGCGTGAAGGCAAAGCATGCGTAAGTGAAGCACATTGGCAGATGCATTGGTGGGATGCAGATATGTGAAATATGTGTACATGAGGCGTGCACGTCTAAACAAGGGTTGAGGTATGCAGATATAGAGAGTGAGTCACAGGGACTTAGACTTGAGCAGAGATGTGATAAGGGAATATATTCTTAAGGCTTGATACAGCCTAGGGTCAGAATATGTAGAGGTAAAGGGTGCGTAAAAGAGAAGTCCTCCACATTTCCAACACTCGTTCTTTTAAGATGAAAATTGACTACATGTGAATATAATAAGTGGCACATCTGAGTGCGGAGCCGAGCCAAGTAACATAAATCTAAATTTATCTTCAGGATCTAATGTGACCGCATAATGCATGGGTATGTAAATCAAACTGAAGGTACATCAGCATGTGAGAATTACTAAAGTACTCACCAGTGAACCAGGGAGGACATGGGCAGACGGACAGCGGAAGTGCAGGGAGCTATAAATACAGTGTGGATGCGCATGTATTGGCACACAACGTGTTAGAGGCGTGGGAAATATGCATGACTGATCCTTTGGATAAGAGCTGGAATATGGGGAAATAATGATGGTATAGCGCCTCATATCAGACATTGAGACACATGAGTCTCTACATCAGTTCGGTACATTGAGGTGCTTGACAAGCTTGCTGAATGGAGGTAAATGTTAACTATTTCATTGACATGTCGCCCTGACACTAAATCATTAGAGCTGATTGGGACTTAGCGCACAAAGCTGCCAACAATTCTCTCACCACAATTACTGCTGGTAACTTAGAGCAGATGAACACTGCGCTCGCACAAGCTCACATTCAGGTGGATTCTTCATATGCCAAATTACAGCATGCTGAAGCATTGGTTGTGCATGTAGAAACTCTCTTAGCTGTTGAAGGATGATTGGAGGTCGGTGGCGAGGAGTACAACCATTTCAAGGAGGAAGTAGCTTTGAGCAAGTATCACAGCGTGCTAGATGACCTGGAGCACCTGGTTGTCATGAGGTTATTTGAGCTTTTGAAGTTGTCCTTGTCCAGCACAGGTGCTTGTTTATTGTTGATCACTAATTAAGCTAACATTTTTAGGGTACAAGCTACATCAACAAATTGGTAAAGCACTACAACAGTGATCAGAGGCTATTTGTAATGCAATCAACCACTACAATGTGCAAGCTGTCACCTTAAATCCACCAAGACAGAAGATCTCTTGAAAAGACATCACTGACTATAGTTTCCTTGGCGAATTCGATCTTTTGTGTCATTCTCACAGATCCGTGAATGTCAGACAGATATCTCACTACCTTGGCCCACCCATCTATATAACATCCCCTCCATCAGCCCACCCATCTATATAATGAATATTCCACTGCTCCCTTGGCCCACCCATCTATATAATAAATATTCCACCACTCCCTTGGCCCACCCATCTACAAAATAATTCCAGTACGTCAGCCCACCCATCTATACAATAAACCATTACATTGGCCCACCGGATATCTTCGAGGATATATATAATATCAGCACAGTTGGGCCTACCCGTCAACATCGGAAATAATATCCCTCCCAGCCCATCCATCAACATCGGGGATATACATCACATTGGCCCATAGTCCACTGGCCCATCTTATACGGGATATTATGTAGGTTGGGTGACCCGTATAATATGGAATTTGTCACTGAAGGGGCTCATTGTCCTTCCTGCATAGGCTGCACTTATCCATGACAACAGCAAAAGAGCACAAGTCAAAGATGATGAATTCAATGATACCAAATCTGATAATGGTGAGCATGAAAATGCACGAGTGAACCTCAAATGCGAGTCTCACCAATGTAAGATATGTCATTACTCACATAGAAGCAACAGCCAAATGAGTCCACCGAAAAAAGCCCCTGCAATAGACCACACTAAATTTGATGATGAAGGAATTCTCACTGACATTGACATGCAGTCTGTCACTGATGCTGGCCCCTCACATGAAGACAGGACTTGTAACATTAACTAATTTTTTAGTAACCCATTTAAACATACTAACACCAATGGAACAGTCAAGAAGCACCATAAATACAAGGTCTGCCCATGAGTTATCTTACAATCGTTTGATTCTGTATAGTTCTAATGATTCATTCACATTACTAGAGGTCAGTGCATTATTGTGAACAAGATGACTGCACTGTGCTGACACACAGAAGCTAAATTTGTGGCAAGTTCTATTAAGTATTGTGGTGACTTGCAGGAATCTTAATCATGTATGTTAATAGAGAACATATTGGCAATGGGCTAAGACTAACGACTTTATCTCTAAATTGCCTGGCAATGTCAAAGATGAAAAAAAAAAAACTGCCCAAGCCCAGCAAACTATCAATGCACATATGATGGAGCAAAAGCTTTCAGAGCACATGATTCCATACACTGATAAGCTTTTCAAAACAGCAGCTATCAAGTGGCTCATTGCAACAGACCAGGATAAGCGTAGTTGTCATTATCAAACCATATACTAATCAACATAATGGCAGCCCATACACACCATTAAACATCCAAAGTTCGAGAAGATAATTGATATAGCCTCCTGTGCAACACATGGTGTCAAATTTCCAGGTTGTAAAGCCATGTGTGCTGAGATCATGCAGGTTTTCAAGAATCATTTGACCCAACTGAAAGCAAAACTCAATGTACATACCATCTTTTTCAGCACTCATTCTTTCTAATATATATTATAGAGTGACTCTGTCAGTGGAGCTGTCAATATAATATGTGATGCATGGAAGGCCAGAAACGTCAATGAGTACTTTGTCGTCATGGGCCACTGGATCAAAGAGAACAATACAATGCAGTCTTGGTTTTACACAGCTGAATAATGTGTACAATGCTAAGCACTTAGGAGGTGCCTTGTTCAAGGTACTGGATTGTATTGACATCACTCATAAGGTCTGCATTACTTTACTTCTTCCTGTGTGCTATAATACTTACAACTTGGCTAGTGTTATGGACTTGGATAGTATCTGTTGACAATGCTCAAACAGAGCGTGTGTTGTCAACAGTCAAAGACATCTCTGGGCTAACCCAAAGTTAGGAGTCTTGCTTGGCGAGGCTTCAGCAAGCAAGGTTTAATGCCTATGTCCAAATTGGGTAGCTTATGTCAAGCGAAGCTCGATGATAAGTGTATCTGCCAAGGCCTACGACACCTGAAGGTTAATCGTAAGATCTGCATTAATAGAAGGACAGAAGTCCGACTAGTAACAAGGGCTTTGCTCATCAACAAAGTTGATGAGTAAAGATCAAGACTAAAGACTTATCCACGATGAGCAGATAAGAAAGTAGAATATAGACTGCTGGCTAGGCAGAAAGAATCACTCTTGTTAGGAGTAGGAGATCAAGAACCAAGTAGATTCACGTTAAGGAATTAGATACATGGTAGTGAGTTTATATAGAGGGGAGGAAGTGTATTAGTGGATAATAACTCATACAACCAGAAGAGGAACTGGTTAAAGGATGATACTAGAAAAGGGAAGGCACGTTCAGGTGAGTCATGGGCAAACCGGAATGTGCAGATAAGAAATGAGTCAAAGAACAGAAACAGGAAGTGAAACAAGCAGGGGCACAATCATGCAACTGTGGAGCTAAGTATAAGTACAACGTGCAATTGCGCACCGAGTCATAGATCAAGAAAGGAAACAGGGCAAAGGGGATGCAGCATGCATCGTATCATAGGTTACTGTCTGGACGGTAAGGGTAAAGGTGACTGTCCACAGGATCAGTCATCAGGTGGAGCGGAGCATGGGTATGCTTCATCAGAGAAAGGGTCCAGATAGATGTACTGGCTCTACTGGAATGACAAGTAGAGAGCGAAGGGAAATGCAAGGATGACGAGGATAACAAGAGCAAGGTCAGGGTAAGGGTGTGATGCAAGGGCTGAGACAAGGAGAATAAGGAGAAAAATGGTAGGGGCCCAAGCATCTAGATGTTCTTGTAACAGCTAGCTCGAGTACATTGTAGCGATGGTCGCGGCATTGGGCTCAAAACCACGTATTTCCATACTCACGTCAACACCCGAAACATATGCGCACATGTCCGACGCACTTTCGCACATGTCCAAGCCACTCCATATCGGATCCGGCACATCGGACCTTCGGACATCGCATCGGCCGATTGCACTTCACACGCACTTGTCCATCCTGTGTCCTGTCCATCCGAACTAGCCTCACTAGGTGCGTAGTCATTCCCGTGCATGTTTTCTGACATTCGTACTGTGTTATTACATGTCCGCAGCACCTCGTGTCTTATTACATAGGACATCAGACTGTTACAAGAACATCTAGACGCTTGGGCCCCCACCATTTTTCTCCTAATCCTCCTCGTATCAGCCCTCGCGTCATACCCTTACCCTGACCCCGACCTTACCCTTGTCATCCTTGTCATCCTCGCATTCCCTTTCGCTCTCTACCTGTCGCTTCAGCAGAGCCAGTACATCTGGCCAGATCCTTTTGCTGACGAAGCATACCCATGCTCCGTTCCACCACCTGACTGATCCTGTGGACAGTCCCCTTGCCCTTACCGTCCGGACGGTAACCTATGATATGATGCACGACGCATCCCCTTTGCCCTATTCCCTTTCTTGATCTCTGACTTCGATGCGCAGTCACACATGCGACTTATACTTAGTTCCGCAGTTGCACGATTGTGCCTCTGCGCATTTCACTTCTTATTCTGATCTTTGACTCATTTCTTATCTGCACGTTCAGGTCTCGCCCGTGTTTCACCTCGAACGTGCCTTCCTATTATGGTCATACCCTTTACCGTTTACTTCTCTTGGTAGTACGAGTTATCATCCACTAATATGTATCACGTCCTCTATATAAACTCGCTACCATGTAACATATTCCCTAACTTGAATCTACTTGGTTCTTGACCTCCTACTCTCACCAGAGTGATCCTTTCTGCCTCGCCAGCAGTCTATATTCTATCTTCTTATCTGCTCCTCGCGGATAAGCCTATAGTCTCGATCTTTACTCATCGACTTCGTCGACAAGCAAAGCCCCTGTTAACTAGTCGGACTTCTGTCCTTCTAATTAACGACGATCTTACGATTAACCTTCGGGTGTCGTAAGCCTAGGCCGATATAGCTTATCGTCTCGCACCCGCTTGACATAAGCTACCCGATTTGGACATAGGCATCAAATCTTACTTGCCAAAGCCTCGCCAAGTAAGACCCCTAACCTTGGGCTAGCCCAAGGACATCCTCGACCGTTGACGACACATGCTCTGTTTGAGCATCATCAACAGATACCATCCAAGTCGTAACACAGACCCGAAATATATCGCTACTATCTTCGCCTGTAGTTTTCTGAATTTCTACGTACTTACTTAAATACTCTGTAGTGACCCATAGCAATCATCATCCAGTAGTTAGGAGCCGTTTGCCGACTCTGCGGATCACCCAGAATATTCTCGTAGTTCTTAGTTGCATTGCGAAATATTACCATTCGTTCACCATCATACTCCGTCACTTGTTATACTCGCGCATACCGCTTGCAATCTGACACTCATTATAAAGTTTCCGACCTATTATCTGTTACAAGAACATCTAGATGCTTGGGCCCCTACTATTTTTCTCCTGATCCTCCTCGTATCAGCCCTCGCATCATACCCTTACCCCAACCTTACCCTTGTCATCCTCGTCATCCTCGCATTCCCTTTCACCCTCTACCTGTCGCTTCAGCAAAGCCAGTACATTTGGCCGGATCCGTTCGCTGACGAAGCATACCCATGCTCCGTTTCATCACCTGACTGATCCTGCGGATAGTCCCCTACCGTCTGGACGGTAACCTATGACACGATGCATGACGCATCCCCTTTGCCCTATTTTTCCTTTCTTGATCTCTGACTCGGTGCGCAGTCGCACATGCGACTTATACTTAGATCCGCAGTTGCACGATCGTGCCCCTGCGTGTTTCACTTCTCATTCTGATCTTTGACTCACTTTCTTATCCAGCACGTTCTACCTAGATCGAACGTGCCTTCCTATTATGGTCTTACCCTTTACCGATTGCCTCTCCCGGTAGTACGAGTTATCA